AGGGGGGAAGAGCTGATGGGGGACTGCTGACGTATTACTGTGGCTCTTTGGCAATGTACATTGGTAAATTCTGGCTCCTTCTCAGGCTCAGGTTGGCCACCCCTGATTTACACCACTGATAGTGAGCTCAAAATCCAGTAGATCCCAAAAAGCCAATGCATAATAATTAATTGATTGACAATGCAAAGAGCAAAATATGCAAATGCAAGCATACTTTACTTCAGGCAATGTCTAGAAAAGTGAGCAATCACTAATATTAAAAAATTAATGTCCCTCTTGGCGAAGGTTTATATAGTAAGTCCACAATTCAATAGGTATCAGCGCATATAGGATAGCACAAATACATTCTCTAGTCCCCTTCAGAATCTTAGCCATTATATTCCGTTCCTGTTGAATACCAGTAATGTTAGCTGAAAGTCCAAATTCCAATAAGTAGCACATTGTAATAACCATTATAGAAGGACGTGAATATCTGGGTTGGAATTATTATATCAGAGATATCCAGAAATTCTGGAAATATTTCTCAAGTATAAGAAATCCGTGTTTACTACTGAAGAGATATGGAAAGCCAAAATGAGGCTTAGCTTAATCAGAGTTCCCAGTCTCTTTTCTAGAGGCCATGGCTGTGTATCAAAATTTCCAAAGGAGGGAGAGAAATGATACCTTAGTCAATGTCTGGAACCAGCAACTGGTAGCTCCATTTTAATAGCATTTATATATTTTTGTGTGAGTCTAAATAAATCCTAATAATATGGTAGACATGGAGGAAAAATGAAGACTGATTTTACAAATAGATTAGAGTGTGTCAGATACATAGAAGTAAAACTCCAGTCCATGTCACTTGAAGTAATTTTGGTAAATGCTTAATAATACTGGATGTAAGAGAGAACCATGAAGGACACAAGATGAAAGGGGAACAGTAGAAATGGAGATGAGAGGAAAAAGCCTACACACTGTCAGCTAAATATGACAAAATCAATCAAGTGCAATTCTTGTCAAAGCAATTTAAGATTCCAAAGAAATCACCCTGATTTCACGATTATTTACATTATTTGCAGTGGAAATACCCAGTAATACATGAGCTCATGACAAACCATCATCAGCACTGACAAATTGATCATTTGCATTCCCAACCAAAGCTGTCTCTGTGCTATCATGTAACCTCAGACAATTCAGACTTTAAAAGGAAAATAAAGTAACATAATAGCTAGAAAGGGCAAATAAGATACTAAAAAGATAAGTGTTGCTGAATCAAAGTTCTTCAGGTCCCAATGTTATTATTTTTTTTTTTTAAGGATTTAAGTTACAATGCCCTATTTTAATGGGACGGGGACTGTAAGAGAATCACCCAGATTAATCATTTATAAAATCATAGGGAGAGTTCATTGGCACTACACTGGAGAATACTAGACATCAGCAAGGGATCGAAAGAACAATTTCAGAACTGGCTCCCTGACCTCATTCTGTGAGGCAAAATTAAAATCTCAGAAAATTAGCATTGAGCCAGATTGTGTAACTGGCCTGTTAATCACCACAGAGGAGAGATGAGGACACAGTAAATGTTAAAACATGAGCTCACAATGCTGTCCGTAAAGGAATGTCAGATTCCTCTAGCTATCTCCATACCCTGGCTGCAGATACTGTGGAAAGAAGACACAATGGTACTGGAGGGGCTTTATCCTTGGTAACAGTAGAGAACTAGCCTGTGTTACACTCAGGTACTATTCATCAACGCATAGTCTCCCTGTCTTACTCTCCGAGGAGCTTTTTTATAAGATTACCCAACAAATAATCCTTTATGTAGAGCTGTTGCAGTAAAGCCCCCATTGACAGGAACAAACATGAAAGCAGCATTCTGCCTTCCTGGCATGAAGTTACATGGTGCATATGAGCCAGTAGTGCGTCTTTGACTAGCTCCTCTCCTCCTCTTCACCCATAGCACAAGTAGACAACACTGAGATATTTCCTGTGCAGGACTGATTTTGACAGCACGACCACATAGCAAAGCAGCTCTTGAGGCAGGCACAGCAGTGACTTATTAGATGTGGGGAAGCGGAAGGCTGTAGGGACAGCTCTCAGCTTTAGGAAAATTGTCTATTTTGATAAGGCTACCATAATAACTCATTTAATGCAACAGCAGTTAAATCTCCTTGCTGTTTGCTGCACAGCATTCCTAATGGGGAAGCTTTTATTTCCACCAACACAGAGCTCCTGACAGTTATATAACCACTTTTTGGGTGCCTTTATAAACAGGTGTCATAGCAGAGTGCCATTATATATAGGACTGAAAATGTGAACGTCTTCAAATATAAATAAAATGTGCAGCCTGTTGAGCAAGGATTAGCTCCAATGATTAGCAAGGAAGTGATTGATGGCCTAGGTTCCAACCCTGGACTCTTTACGCACACCCAAGTCTCAGTAACTTCTAGGAATGTTACCCGGTTGAATACGAGGGCAGAACTGGGATATTTGATAACTAAAAATATGGAAAAGAAACATCTGGGTACATGACCTAATCTAAAGTGCAGCAGCAGCTGATCAGTGTCAAAAAAGGGGGGATGAAAGGAAAGGGATGATAGGAGGAGAATGGGAGAGAATGCAGAGCAATGCTGATTTTACGTGTACATTTGCTCTATGTATGCCACTTAGAAATCGTTAAAACAGGTTTTCAATATGGTGCAACATTTTACATCCATTGGGGATTTGCTTATGTTATGAGCTTCTCAGGCTCTTATTATTTTGGAGGGAAGTTGTCTAGACAAGTAATACAGGCTGTTTTTTTCCAATGACTTCCACCTCTGAACTGGTGGTGTTTAACATCAATAACTGGGAAAAGGAATGACCTATTTGCAGAGACTTCCTTGAGGGCACTGCAGATTAAGAACAAAAGCCTGCTCTCCCTCGGGGGCCTGATTCTCCCTTTGCAGGGTATGGGTAACTCCTATGGAAGTAAATGAGAATTACTCCTGGCCTGATATGCTGTGGTTCTCTGAGCAAAAAGAGCAGGCTATAGAGAAGCTGAACATGGAGAGTCCTCATAGATTCATAGATTCTAGGACTGGAAGGGGCCTCGAGAGGTCATCGAGTCCAGTCCCCTGCCCGCATGGCAGGACCAAATACTGTCTAGACCATCCCTGATAGACATTTAT